CCATACTTATTCAACCTGTATGCTGAGCAAATAATCCGAGAAGCTGGGTTATATGAAAAAAAAAAACATGGCATCAGGATTGGAGGAAGACTCATTAACAACCTGAGATATGCAGATGATACAACCTTGCTTGCTGAAAATGAAGAAGATAGATAGATAGATAGATAGATAGATAGATAGATAGATAGATAGATAGATAGATAGATAGAATGGATAAATGGATGAATGAATGGAAGGATGAGTGATAGGATGGATAGATGGGAGAATGGATGCATGGTTGGATGAAGGAATGGATAGATGGTAGATAAGTGCATGGATGGATGGTGGATTGATGGATGGATATCTGAGTAGATGGATGAATGGATGATTTGTATGGTGACTGACGTCTACTGATCCCTGAAGAAGGGTCTTTCAGGGATCAGTAAGTGTACTATGACACCTGCTTCCCTTTGGCCACCTGGTAACCCCAGGCCATGGTCCACTGACAAAGTGTGGGGAGGGCAGAGTATTTATCTCTTTTGCTGTGTTCCTTTGTGCTTTCCTGACCACCATTTGCAATTCGCTCATCATGCCCCACCTGACTTGGTGGTCACAGCCATGTGCGGATCTGGAGACAGGGGAGGTCAGAGAGGAAGTGCCCATGTAGTGAGAACTCACTGTATGCCAGGCCAGTGGCCCAGTGGGAGGAGTGGACAAGGAATGGGAAGTGGCAGGTTGGATTGGTCAACAACAAACTAGTGAGAGGAGGACACAGCTGGGGAAGCCCCTCCCACAGTCCCCTGCCTTGGGCCTCCGTTGCCCCATCTGCACATTGAGGGCTCTGTTGGTCTGTGGATGTGTCCTGCTATGTTACAGTCCCTGGTTCTGGTTTGGTGCCTCGCAGTCCCACAGAGCCTGAAGGCAGAACACCATTGAAAGCCGGACATCAGCACAATGAAACACACACTGGACATTTGCTGTGCCATTGTGCTGGCGTAGTGGACAGGGCTTCCCAGAGAGACCGTGGAGTCTGGGGTCATGCGGCGATATGGGGCTGCATTCCTCCTCTGTCCACCCCACCCATCCCCATTGTCCACTCATGGCACTGTGTGCATCCACACCATCCCTCCGTTAGCCTTTTCTCTGTCCCTTTGATTTGTGTGTTCTACAAGGAGCAGGGTGGGCAGAGCTACACCAGCCCCCACTCTGCATCGCAGCATGCCTGCCCTGCCGTCCCCGAGAAGATCATCCATTCTTTCATGTGTCCTCCCTCCATGCCAATCCCAGGCTGCCTATCCACCTGGCATGCCCTTCCACCAGGAGGACACCCTTCATTGATCTCCTTCCACCCCACACAGAACCAGCAGGGCTGCGGTCACTGCTCCTGCAAGTCCATAGAATTCAGCTATCCTGGCTTTGTGGACAGCTACATGGTCACCCCACCTCTTCCCCTGCTATCCTGAGAGCTTTCAGGGAGCTCACTTCCGATCTCCAGAGCTTAGCACAGGACTGAGGGGTTCAGAGGATCATTGGTGCTCAGCAAATATGGATGGATGGATGTAGGAATGGATGAGCAGGTGGAGTTAATGAAGGATGATGGATGAGTAGATGAATGGAGATAATAAATGAATGAAGGATAAGTGGATGGATGGGTAATGCACGAATGAATGGATGATGGCTAGATGAGTGAGTGGATGAATAAATGGATGAGTGGATGGACTTTAAAAAGCAAAATATAGGAGCACTCACACTCTGCCACTCTGTGTTAGAAGCCACACTAATTCATCTCTTTGAAGACAATCCATCTCCTTTGGAATTTTCCAACAACATCTAAACTTGATTCTTCATAATATACTTCTGAGAGGGCCTTGTAAACAAGGCTTTCAATGGCTCCAGAAGAGAGTCCAAACTGGCATCACAGGCCATTCTGAGGGCTCAGAGCCCCAGTCCCTGAGGAGACGCTGGGAGGGAAAGGGAGGTAGGTACCAGCTCCTCGGAGGCCCAATTGGTCAATTGATCCGGCTAGGACCAGCCCTTCAAGCAGCCATGGTCTCCAGGGCTCTTGTTCTTTCTGCAGGAGCCCACTCTGGGCTCAGTCTCCTCATCTGTAAAATGGGGTTGGATCGATGTGGGTGAAGGGTCCTGCTGTTCTGACACTAACTCAGGACTAGGTCCCTGCCACTGAGCATGGCCTTCAGGCCTCCCTTGAGACCGTCCCAGGCAGTAAATGGGAAGCTGCTCTGTGAACAAGCACCAAGGAGGGGCTTCCCATCGTCTCAGCAGCAATATGCCCACCTCAGCAAACTTGTAATGAGCAACTACTATGTCCAAGGCCTGCTTTGTGCAATCCAGTCCCTGTCCTTTCCTGTGGCCATCTGCTCCCCTGCACCAGCCCTGGAGCTGTCTTCAGACACAGCCCTGCCCAGCCCCCTCCTATCACCGGTGCCCCGACCCTCACTGCCCACCAGACTCTGCCTCAGCTGGTCTCCTCTTCTCCCTGCCTCCTCCTAGCCACCAGGGCTGGGATTGCCCCCATGCCCCTCCACCCAGCCTGAATCACTGTAATGTCAGTCATGGACTATCCGCTGCCTGGGGCCCATGCTGCTGTCCAGGCGAGAGGGCTAGCCATGGGAGCAGGAAGGCTGCTCGTAACGAGAGATGGTGGGCTGGAGGCCGCTGGGTGTATGAGGAAGGGGTGTGGGCAGGTACAGAGAGATTGCTCTGCCATCAACCCAGTGTAGAAGGCGGCGTTGGAAACATGTCCAGTGCAGACATGGGTGGTCAGCAGCCTGTTGGTCAGCCAGCTGAGTTCCCCTCCTGGGCACTAAGTCTAGATGTGAATGATTCAAGGCTGGTGTTCAAACAAAGTAGGAGTCTGGGTGACCAGTGCCAGGGGCAGGGCAGGGAAATGACAGAGACTTGGATGCAATATATTAGGGGTGGGGGTGAGGCCCCAGCCAGAGACACAGAGCAGCAACAGTACGGGGGACTGAATGTGGGCATCCGCGGAGGTCGGGGGCTCTGCTCAGAGGATGGCGCAGGGAGGGAGAGCTCAGAACAGGCAGTGGTACCCTTGAGTTAGTTAGGGTACATGCCAACTTCCACTGTCTGCAAGTTCTGGGGTCTCCAAGACTGCCATCAATTTCAGTGGTCTTTTAGACTGATCCCAAGTGACTCCCCCTTTCTCTGGGACAGGTAACCTGGGCTCACAGTTGGTGGAGTATAAAGAAGAAATGTACATCACTTCGGACTGCGGGCGCACCTGGCGGCAGGTAAGACGGCAGAGGAGGGGCCTGTTGGCTCACACCTGCCCCGAGAGGAAGTACCTGTTGTCACCCCATCCCTGAGGTGTGGTGTGAGGAACTCTGAGCCCAACAGTCCACCCACTGCACTAAAAGTGGCGTTGGATGGTCAGTGGTGGAGGCGGATGAGAGTCTCCACGGTAGGCAATGGCGTTCCGGGATTGGGGTCCCAGGTCCAGGGCTCAGGTGGACTTCGGTGGGAAGACACATGGAGGGGAGGATTCCCTGGGTCTGGGGCTGGGACTGGGATCCATGGGGAGCCCTGGGCAAAGAAGGGTCAGCAATGGATGGTGCAGGGCCCCTGGGGACTGTAGGTTGGGCTGTGCTGCAGACATCATGAAGACAGTTTGGGGAGCAGGCTTGGGGATCTGGGGGTAATCTGTCACAGCAACGTGGCCTGAGGAAACACTAGAACCAGTGTGGCCTCAGGGAGGTCAGGGCATGGCCGTGCACATGGACAAGTGAGGCGTCTCAGGGCCCCCAGGCAGAAACAGCCCCAACAGAACTGGAGTCCACAGACTTGTGTCCCAGGAGAGCGGCCACCACCTTGCTCAACACCTGTTACTTGTTTCCAGAAGAAAAAAGGGAAAAAAAGTGCCGCTGTTGAGCGGTGGCTGCATGGAGTGGCAATGTCTGCCCTGAGCGTTCAAGAGCATGAACCAAATATCTGTCTGTGTCTCTTTCCAAGACATACAAATTCTGTTTCTAGGCCAGTCTTGTACTTACACACATTCCAGTCAACAACTTCTGTCCCTGGTCACCTCCTGCGGGTCCCTATCAACAACCTGAGTCCTGGGTCACCTCCCATGGGTTCCCATCAACAACTTGAGTCCCGGGTCACCTCCCATGGGTTCCCATCAACAACCTAAGACCCGGGTCACCTCCCACGGGTTCCTGTCAACAACCTGCGTCCCGGGTCACCTCCCATGGGTTCCCATCAACAACCTGAGACCTGGGTCACCTCCCATGGGTTCCCATCAACAACCTGAGTCCCGGGTCACCTCCCATGGGTTCCCATCAACAACCTGAGACCTGGGTCACCTCCCACGGGTTCCTATCAACAACCTGCGTCCCGGGTCACCTCCCATGGGTTCCCATCAACAACCTGAGACCTGGGTCACCTCCCATGGGTTCCCATCAACAACCTGAGCCCTGGGTCACCTCCCACGGGTCTCCATCAACAACATCAGTCCTGTGTCACCTCCCACGGTCTCCATCCATAGCCTCTCCCCTAGTTCACCTTGGGGATCATCAAGTTCATCTGCAGTCTTGGTGCTGTGTGTGTATTTTTGTATAATATGCATGAAACAAGGAATTGTGCAAAGGGCAGAAGAGACTTACTGTGTGATACGACTTCTGTTTCCCCGGAAGGACTCAAACATGTTGAGGACTTTGTAAAATTCACCTCTGTCCACGTGTCAGCTCCTATACCCTATTAGAGTAAGCACAGGGGACAGAGTCTTTCGGTGGTGAAATGTTTGTTTTGGCCACTTGGCTGCTTGGCGTGGATTGCAGACAAGAATGTCAAGGTGCCTAGTGTGGCCCAACCTTAGATGTGTTCCCGTCCTGGTGGGTGGGGCATGGAGAGAAGACCCCAGGGGGTGGGCACTGGGCTATGCTCAGGAGGGAAGAGAGCTCTGCTACTGGGGTTCGAGGGGCTCTGATTATCCAGAGGGCGCAACTGGTGGAGGTGATAAAAACATTCCAGAGGGAATGATGAGTGTGCTTGGGCCACATAATCTTTTACAAGCAGGCCTTCCTTCAGATGACCAAACCCCAAACATAGCCAGAGACTCTTCGGGACCCTACAAAGCTTAGCCATTACTCTGCTGGCAGTTTCTCCTACTGGGGTGGGGATGGGGAGGTGGGGGGGGGGTGTTAAAATCATCAGGATCACCCATGGTGGACAGGTTTCACTGGAACTTCCAGACTAAGACAGACAAGGAAGGAGAGACGAACCACTTCTGAATCGTTAGCCGCTGAAGACCTTCTGAATTGCTGCAGAGCTGTCGGATAGAGTGTGGGAACATGAGCCTCTCAGGTTGGCAGACACTCAACATACGACCTGGGAAGAGCTGCCTCCTCAAAGCAGAGTGCTCCGTAATGACATGGACAAAGAGTCAAGATCTGCATTTGCTGACGAGCCAGGATTCCCAATGAAGAGACACAGCTGTAAATATCCATTACTAATCAGAACGTGGAATGCACAACATATGAATATAGGTAAATTGGAAATTGTCAAAAATCAAATGCATGAAGATCAATCTCATAAGCATTAGTGAGCTGAAATAAGCTGGTATTGGCTGTTTTAAGTCTGACAAACACATGGTTTCCTATGCTGGAAATGACAAATTGAAAAGGAATGGCGTTGCATTCATCATCAAAAACAACATTTCAAGATCTGTCTTGAAGTCCAAGGCTGCCTGTGATAGAACAATATCCATACCCCTACAGGGAGACCAGGAGCCTTGGCATGGCACTCCAGGATTAGCAGTGGACTGCTAACCACAAGGTCAGTGGTTCAAACCCACCAGTCACTCCTCAGGAACCCTATATAGGGTCGCTATGAGTTGGAACTGACTGGACAGCAATGAACAACAAGGTACACCAGTTAATACCACTATTATTCAAATTCGCACACCAACCACTAAAGCCAGTGATGGTGAAACGGAAGAATTCAAGGAGCTCTGGTAGCGTAGTGGTTACGAATCGGGCTGCGAACCTTAAGGTCAGCAGTTCGAAGCTACCAGCCACTCCACGGGAAAAAGATGAGGCTTTCTGCTCCCGTAAAGATTTACAGCCTCAGAAACCCTGCACAGGGTCGCTATGGGTTGGAACTGACTTCACAGCACATAACAACAACAACAGCTTCTTCAGTGTGAAATTGACCAAACAATCAAGATGTAGTGATTATCAGGAGCAATTGGAATGCAAAGGTAGGAAACAAAGAGAAAGGATTAGTAGTTGGAAAATATGGTCTTGGTGATAGAAATCATGCTGGAAACCGCATGACAGAACTTTGCAAGTCCAATGATTTATTCATTGCAAATACCTTTTTTACAACAACATAAAAGATGACTGTATACATGGACCTCACCAGATGGAATACACAGAACTCTAATTGACTACATCTGTGGAAAGAGACGGTGGAAAAGCTCCATATCATCAGTCAAAATCAGGCCAGGGGCAGATTTGGAACAGAGCATCAATTGCTCATATGCAAGTTCAGGCTGAAGCTGAAGGAAGTTAAAATAACTCCGCAAGAGCCAAAATATGATCTTGAGTAGGATGTGGCTGTTGTCAGATGCTGTGGTGTCGGTTCTGACTCACAGAGGCCCTATGTAGGGTTTTCAAGGCTGTAAATGATAGTGAGAGCAGAAGGCCTCACTGTTCTCTTTCAGAGAGGCTGCTGGTAGGTTTGAACTGCTGACCTAGTGGTAGCAATCCAGTACTTGTCCTACAGTGCCACCAGGATTCCTTGACCTTCAGTATATCAGAGACCGTCTCAAGGACAGACGGGTGCATTAGACACTCAAGACATCAAGACGACAGAAAGAAAGGGAAAGGTCATTAAGAAGACAAGGAAGAAATGAAAGATCAAAGTGGATGTCAGAAGAGACTCTGAAACTTGCTTTTCAGTGTAGAGATTCTAAGGCAATTGGAAGAAATGAGGTAAAAGAGTTGAAAGGAAATTTTCAAAGGGCCAGAGAAGACAAAATCAAGTATTATAATGAAATGTGCAAAGACCTCAAATTAGAAAACCAAAACGGAAGAACACGCTCAGCATTTCACAAGCTGAAAGAACTGAAAAAAAAAAAAAAAATCAAGCCTCAGGTTTTAATATCGATGGGTTCTATGGGCAAAATTGAAGGAGTCCTGGTGTGGCGCTGTAGGCTGATGCGTCAGACTGCAAAGTCGTTTGAACTGCAAGGGCAGTGGTTCAAGCTCACCAGCTGCTCCTTGCAAACCGTATACAGGGTCGCTATGGGTCAGAATTGACTCGACGACCCTTAACAACAACAACATGGGCAAAATAAATAACAGTAAACAATAAATAAAAAATAAACAACCAATAAACCAATAAACAGCATTCTTATCAATGGAGAAAAGATTGAACTTGTCAAGGACTTCATTCTTCTTGGATCAACTATCAACACTCACAGAAGTAGCAGTCAAGAGATCAGACGACGTATTGCACTGGGCAAATGTGCTGCACAGGAACTTTTTAAAGTGTTGAAGAGTAGAGATGTCAGCTTGAGGACTAGGGTGCGCTTGACACAGGCCATGGTATTTTTAATCACTTTGTTGTTATTGTTAAGTGCCACTGAGTCGATTCCAACTCATAGCGACCCTATATAGGGTTTCCGAGGAGCGGCTGGTGGGTTTGAACTTCCGACCTTGTGGTTCGAAGTCCAGTGCTGATCCTACAGTGCCACATCAGGAGTCCATCAATTCATCTGCATGTGAAAAGTGGACAATGGATAAGGAAATGCTAGGAGAATCGATGCATTTGAATTATGGTGTTAGTAAAGAATATTGAAAGTAAGTGACAGAAGAATAAATGAATAGTCTGTGTTGGAGGAGATACAACCAGAATGCTGCTTAGAAGTGAGGATGGTGAGGCTCCATCTCTCATCCTTTGGACATGTTATCAGGAGGGACCAGTCCCTGGAGAAGGACATCATGCTTGGTAAAGAGGAGGGTCCTTGATGAGATGGTTGACACCATGGCAGTAACAATGGGCTCAAACATAGCAACAATTGTGAGGGTGGCACAAGACCTGGCAGTGTTTCTGTGGTGTGTAGGGTCACTGTGAGTCAGAACTGACTGGATGAGGAAGGACCAGCCACCTGGAGTGGATCAGGCACAGACACTAGGACAGTGGGTGGTCACAGATACTGAGACACTACTGGGAACGGGGTCCTCTGCCCACAGGTGAGTGAGAGGGGAGGTGACTCTGTAGGAAACAGGGTGATCAAGGGCCATTCCCAAGTCCCTGGGACCACTTGGGCCACCCCACCATTGGGAGATCCTGAGGAGCTGGGAAGCATGAGAGTAACAGGATAGCCAAATTTGGGGGTGGTCACCCTACTGCTGAAGCTCTACGATCCTCGGATGCAGGGCCTAGGCTCTTTGTCCCCCCTCCCTCCCCACGTGCCTTCTACAGGCTCCCAAGAGCTCACCATTCCAGCAGGGTGTACCTCCAGAGTGGTGAGCAGGGTTTCTTTAGCACCCCCATTTCCTCCTCCACCACCTACCTGCTCTCTGCCAGGAATATTTCAGGGAGTCTGGGGAAAGTGCAGTCACAGCCCTGTGTGGAAAATGTCTGGTTGAAGCACCAGCTGAGTCCAGACATCCCCACCCTGCTTAACAATCACCTGTATGTCCTCAACTCTGCCCTCTCCTGTGTCCACACCTGCTTTCTACACCTGTGTCCACACCTGCTTCCTCACCTGTGTCCACACCTGCTTTCTACACCTGTGTCCACACCTGCTTCCTCACCTGTGTCCACACCTGCTTTCTACACCTGTGTCCACACCTGCTTCCTCACCTGTGTCCACACCTGCTTCTACATCTGTGTCCACACCTACTTCCTCACCTGTATCTTCACCTCTGTTCCCACCTGTGTTTCCACACCTATCCCCACCCCTTGTCCTCACCTGTTCCCCTACCTGTTCCTGACCTGTGTCCTAACATGTGTCTTACTTGTCCACAATCGGCCAGGTCAGCACAGTGATGGTCCCTCCTAGCATGGTGCAGTTTCCTCAGACGGATCGCTGGCCCTTGTGTGAGGGTCTTGTCGAGACAGGATGGACTCTTTTGGCTTGGGCAAGGGGCAACGTGGGCTCAGTGGCTTTTTCCTTCTTCCCTGAGTTTTGTGTTTGGAGTCCACAGGCCCAGGAGGCTGATTGGATGTGGACTGTGTGTGGGCCCACAATGAGCCGTTTCCTGGAGGAGGTGCAGGGTCAGGTAGTATGGGGGAGGGGGCACTGTCCACGTATTGATGTCCACAGAAGATCTACAGGGAACCTCGTGTGTCATGGTGGGAATCTAGACTTAGGAACCATACCGCCACCTGTCAGCTGGGAGGTCTCTGAACCTGAGTTTCCCTCTCTGTAAAAGGATACCCTTCCAGGGCTATTTGCAGACATGCAAGGCTGCTAAGTGACCTTGGGTCCCCTGAAGCACTGATGGGATTCATTCATTCATTCACCCTTCCCACACACACTTCCTGAATTCCCACTGTCACCCAAGCTGTGAGGACCATGACAGGCCAGTGTAGGGTGTGCTGGGCATCAGGGAGGTCTTCCTGGAGGAGGTGGCACAGCCCTGCAGTGAGTGTGCATGTCTAACAGGGATTTGCGCTGACTGCCCATCTTTGCTGTGAGTGCAGTCTCTGTTCTCCTGCCCGTGTTTTCATGACCCGGTTTTCCTCCTCAGCTTGGTTTGCATACGTAATCTGTCTGGCGTCAGTGGCTTAGAAATTGCCCCATTGTCTGTCCACTGCACATGGGTTAGTCCTGTCCTGCACCCCAACACATTCCCTTTTGAGCAGTGACCCGGCCCAGAGCCCCCTCTAGCTCCCAGGCCTGCCTCCGAGCACATCTTTCCATCTGTCTGTTTGCAGGTGTTTGAGGAAGAACACCATGTTTTGTACCTGGACCATGGTGGGGTCATTGTGGCTGTCAAGGACACCTCCATTCCTCTGAAGGTCCTCAAGTAAGGATGCCCTGGATCTCCACCTGGGCACCTCTGGGAACATTCCCCACGAGGCAGGAACAGGTGGGGTGGGAGCTGGCCGGACAGGCATGCGGCCGGCTGGGGCAGTCAGAAGAGCTCCCCAGTAAGAGTCAGGGTTGTTTGGGGAACTGAAGGCAGGCATGATTCTGGCCCCCAGGCAAGGCTCAGACACTAGGGGGCTGGCTGAATGGGACATTTCCCGAGGCCCGATAGCCCCACAATTTGGAGGCACAGAGCCTTTCGGTGTCCAGACAAGATGCCCAGGCTCTGCACCCTACATTGTTAAGTGGATGAAGCCACTGTCCTTGAGATGAGATGAGACGGTGAGAAGGGGGCTCAACTGTGGTCCAGACGCTGGGTAGCCAGGTGGGGAGCTGCTTCTCCAGCCTGTTCGCCCAGTTGCTGCCGGAGGTATCTAACTGGGGTCCAGCAGGTGGGCAGGTGGCCTGGAGGAGGGAGTGTTCCCTGCCCGCTCACCACCTAATACCCTCTCTCACAGGTTCAGTGTGGACGAGGGCATCACATGGAGCACCCACAACTTCACCAGCACCTCGGTGTTCGTGGACGGGCTGCTGAGTGAGCCAGGAGACGAGACACTCGTCATGACGTGAGTAAGAGATTGCTGGGCAGGCGGCTAGAACTGCCTCAGGCCGGGGGCCATAGTGGACGGCCACTCTGGCCCATCGTGTCTCAGGGGCAAAACTCACAGCTGGTCATCCAGCCTTCCTTGCCATCCTCCTTGTTTTCACTTTCATCTTTGCACCAGCCTCTGCCACCCAGGGCCAGGTGAGGCACCTGATGTCCAAAGTGTTCTCCATCATGACCACTGGAAGGCAGCCATTCAGGGCTGGTCTAGAAGCAGGTAACCTGCCAGGGTTACCTGGATGTGAGGGCACCAAGATGCACTCTCCGTCTGAGGGAGAGGGCTGCTTTGGGTGTCTCCCCATCCCTGTCTCCAGTAGACGTTATGATGATAATGATGGTGATATTGTGATGACAGTAGTGATAAAGGTCATCACCATGGTAGTGGCCGTAGTGATGATGATGGTGATGACAATGGTGGTGGTGATGTTGCTGCTTCTGCTAAGGTGATGATGGTGACAATGATAATGATGAGCGTTTGTCCCTGACATACGGGTTCTTAACTGACTTCCACCATCAGGCCCACAGGCCCAGACAGTGCGCTGTGGAGCAGGGCACACGTGAGCTGAGCTGGGCATCAACCTTGCTCGCATCTCTTTCCCACCACCTACGGTGACAAGACTTCATGCTAAGGAATCCCTGCTTCTGTGGTGTGTGTAGTGCAGCAAATGCATGGTGCACACACTCACATCTGCCCTGCTCACCTTCATATGCGTGACCTTGTCCTCTCTCGTGCCACTGCCCTGAGAAGGGCCAGGCCATCCCAGTCCACATCCTCGGTTTTCCACGTGGACAAGCCCTTCAGGTGGCCTCATCCCTCCTGGGGTTCCCCTCAAGGTACCCACCCCTTCAGGGCACAGCTGGCAGACATGTGTTTCTATTCTACCCTCTTCATACTAACCTCCTGTCCCTAGCGTCCCCCAGCATCACCCAGCAAGGGCTCAGGATGTGGAGACCAGGCTCTGAGGGGGAACTGTCCAGCACCCAACTCTGCTCTGATTTCCTTCTACTGACTCTATCTCGTTCATCTGTCTGCCTGTCTGTCTCTTTTTCTCTCTGTCTTCCTTTGTGTGAGACTGTGTTTCTGCCTCTCTGTTTGTCTGTGTGCCTCTGTCTCTCTCCCTCCCTCATTCTCTGAGTCCTTCTGCATCTTTTTGTATCTCTTTTTCTTTCTCTCTCCATCCCTTTCTGCCGTTTTCCTGTCTCCCACACACTTGGAGCACTGACCCAGATGGTTCCTGGTCCACATCTGCCCACAACTGGCATCTAAGCCACTGTGGCTGCTTCTAGACCTTCTCTTAGCCTCCTTTACCCTTGCCACTTCTCTTCCTACCAGCATGACCCCGGAGCCAGGAGGGGGCTCCCGGAGCTGGCCAGGTGGATGGGTGCTTCGTGCAGGGCAGGGGTTCATCATCTGAACCTGCCTGTTTCCTTATGAATATGAAGCAGCACACAGGACTCTTAGCAGACCGATGTTTCTGTGTTCATCAGATGAGGGCTTGAGCTTTATAAAGGCAGAACTTCAGATGCATCAAAGGAAATTTATCAGATCAGCTCTGCTCAAGCTGGAGACGAGGAGAGATACGATGTTTTCTTCTTTCCCCCCCTCTCCCCCCATGGGAACAACCACGGGTCACACTTCCTGTGCAAAGTAGCGCAGCCTTAAAGCTGTCAGCTCGGGGTTCAAGTTCTGGCTCCACCACTTGGTAAGCAGTGACCATGGGTCCCTGGGAGGCCCGTTGCCTTTGTCTTAGCCTCAGTTTCCCCATCTGCCACCCCTGTTTGTTAGTCTGTCCCACTGTGATACTGGAAGTGATGTCACTGGTATTGCGGATACCAGCAAGGTAACCCATAGTGGACAGGTTTCAATGGTGCTTTGGTCTCAAAGAGACTAGGAAGAAAGGTCTGGATATCTACTTCCAAGAATCATCTGGTGAAAAGCCTTCTGATCACATGAGGATGTTGCCAGCTAGAGTGGTGGACGATGAGCCCCCTAAGGAGGAAGAATCCAGCATACAGAGTGATCACAGCCGTAGACTCAGGCAGAGCAGCGGATGGCTGGAGAGGACGGGGCGGCGTTTTGTTCTGTTGTGTGGGGGGCTTTCGTGAGTCAGAACACATGTGACGGCACCTAACAACAACCAGCTCCATGCTTCGGGGTATGACGCCCACTCCCACCAAGGGCCAGGCCTGCACCCACCACTGCCAACCCAGCATCCATAGGGAAAGGTCAGTCTTATCCCCATCAGAAAGCCAAGGACAGGAAATTCCTGGAGAGAAAGGGCTTGCCTGAGGCCCCAGGAGCAGCAAATGGGCTGTCAACCCAGGCCTGCTCCTCAGATCCGCCCTCTAAAGCCAAGCCTTGGACATTGGAGCCGGCCACCACGACCCAAGTCACCAAGAACACGTCAGGGCTTCCTAAAGCCCCACCTTAACCTGGGAATGCGGTCTGAGTCCTTCATATGGTGCCTGGACATACCCGAGTGCCCAGCCCCTGTCAGCATACTCAGAAGGAGACCAGACCAGGGTAGGGTGTGTCACCTCCACCATCTGGATTCTTGACCTCTGGTAATGTGACCGTGCCAGGAAAGGGACCTATGAACCTGACAGCACCTCACCCCCCCAGCACGAGGGGACCCACTGGGAGAGACCTTGACTGGGGAGTTGCCTCCAGGGACTGCAGGCATGGCTGTGGGAGGGGGACAGTGAGCACCTTCCAAACGTGTCTGGGGCTCACTTTGCCAATGGTGATGGATCAAAGGAGCAGAATTAATAGTGTGGGTAGGCTGGGCTGGGTACAATCACCCATTGTCAACCCAGGGATCCTGCAGGAAATTGAGGGGGATACCAGGCTCTGGACAAGGACAGTGAGGCTGGGGTCTCAGCAATGGGTAGGGTGCTGAGGAGGGATTGGATGAGTCCCCTGTGAGGGGCACACTTGCCCCACGGTGTTTGCCAAAGAGCGTGGCTGGCAGTGGGCTGGTTGCCTACCCATTGTTGAGACCCCAGCCTCACTGTCCTTGTCCAGAGCCTGGTATCCCCCTTACCTTCCTGCAGGCTCCCTGGGTTGACAATGGGTGATTGTACCCAGCCCAGCCTACCCACACTATTAATTCTGCTCCTTTGATTCGGGGGTCATCTTACTCAGCCTCAACATCCATCACTCACCCCACAAAGCACAGTGGAAGGGGTTGCCTGACCCTGCTCACCTCTGGAGGAGGGGGCCTCAGGAGTCCAAGCTCCTGATTATTCACACCGCCCCAGGCTACCCCAGGGTCCCACATGCTGCCCTGAGTTGGGCCTGGGAAACATCGAGGCAGACTGGGAGGGGGGTGTTTCCCACCCACCTCTCCATGCCCCGTGACCGAGGACTGTCCAATGAGGAGGCAGGAACAGCATGTGTGTGGGGGGTGTCTCTCTGTGCCTCAGTTTCCTTGATGGAGTGTGAGTAGGACCAGAAAGCGGTGTTCCCACATCGTGGGTACTGTGACCACTGCCCCTCCACCTGCTTCCTGCACCCCAACAGAGGGTGGTAGTCACATGACCAGCACAGACAGTGACCTCCAGCCAGCAGTGATGGGAGTCCCATCTGCACGGTGGTCTGAGTCCCTCAGTTCAGACCCCTAGACACAGTCTGACAGGCTGAGAAGTGGGCAGCTGGACGGACAGGCGTCTCTTAAAGTCATCCTGGAAACAGCAGGAGATGAGCCCCCAGGACCTGCTTCCTTGTCCACCAAGTTGGGGCCATGTGGGGCTGGACAGATTGACCAAGACCAACGTCAAGTGTGAGGGTTCTGGGAACATTGGTGCCCACTCCTGACCCAGTGTCTGTGGACTGCATGGGTCACTCCTGTTCCTGTCCCCAGGTGATCCTTTGAGACCAGGGAGGTCTTGGGGGTCCCGTGGACAGGTGGAGAAACGGAGGGAAGGTGGCTTGCTCATGAAGATGAGGACCAGCTAATGGCCTCTCTCTTGCCCCACCCCCCAGGGTCTTTGGCCACATCAGTTTCCGCTCTGACTGGGAACTGGTCAAGGTGGACTTCCGGCCCTCATTTCCCCGGCCATGCATCGAGGACGACTATGATTCCTGGGAACTCTCCGACCTGCAGGTGTGGCTGGGGGCAGGCGAGGGGAGACGGCCTTGCAGTGGGGGAATGCAGGAACTTCTGGGGTGCAGACACACTCATCTTAGCCTTCTGGGGTCCCCCATGCTCCTACTCAGAGAATCCACTCTCAGACTCTCTTATGATTGCTTCCTTCTCCTGGGGTTTCCCGGGGCTCAGACCCTGTAGGGTGGATATAATCAGAATGTTCCAGTTCTAGGGAGGACACAGTACACATCCCCTTTCCCTCTCTCCTTCAGCGCAGGCTCTGTGATGACTTTGGGGTGCATACAGTGGGTGCTGTGGGACTGCTGGGGGGCTGAAGACCACCTGTGTGGCTCAGTGTAACCCGTAGTCTTTTCCTCAGAGGGTTGCATTTCCCTGCAGCTCCGTGAGCCCTCGGGCCACTGCAGGGCCTTGTACACACACAGTAGGTGCTTGGTGACTTCTGGTGGGTCGGGGTGAGAACAGGGTCCCCCAGCCTGACCCTGGAACACTGCTTCCCTTCGGGGCTCAGCTCCCACATCTGTAGAAGGGGCACCCTCTTATACTGGTCAGGGCTTCGGGATCAGCCATTTGAGGGACAGAAAAGACCTACAGGGCCCTTCTCGGGTCACCCTGACCCTCTTGGGTCACCACCACCACAGGGTGACCGCTGCATCATGGGCCAGCAGAGAAGTTTCCGGAAGAGAAAGCCCACATCCTGGTGCATCAAGGGGAGGAGTTTCACGTCGGCACTTAGATCCCACACCTGCGAGTGTAGGGACTCCGACTTCCTCTGGTGAGAAAGCTCGGAGGTCCTCCCCGGAGGTCTCTCACAACTGCTAGTGGTCCAGGAAAACAAGGCTGGCTGGCCTGCACTTTGTAACCCATCTCGGTTCAGAACCATATTCTATTCACAGAACCCAGCCAAGTTCATCTTATGTTGGGGGTGGGAGCGGGCTGGGGAGGGGTGGAACTCCACCTGGAAGGGAGGGACACTGAGGAGCTGGTAGACCTGCTGTCCCGTCTATCTGGGGGGAGAGTGAGGGATGGCATTCTGCTCAGCCTTGCCCTTCTGGTCCCTGACCCGACCATCCCCTGCTCTGCTCAGTGCTGGCTGCCCCCTGTCCCCAGGGGAACACCCCAGTTCCTGCCCACTCTGCCTCATCTTTCACCTGTCCTCTTCAGACTTGTCCCTCCCCACTCTGCCCCAGCTCTCTCCCCTTCCAGAAGCCCTCGGGACTCCCTAAGCATCATGGGAGTTCCTCTCTGTGCCCCCAGCCTCAGTCTGCTCCAAGGCAGCCCCTAACTGTGACCTTCCCTCCTCCCAGTGACTACGGGTTTGAGCGTGCCCTGTCCTCGGAGCCCGATGCCAGCAAGTGCTTGGCCAACTTCTGGTTTGATCCTGCGTCCCCTCCAGACGACTGTGCTGTGGGCCAGACCTACATCAGCAGCCCCGGGTGAGTGGACAGAGCTTCATGGGGCTAGGGACCACGTCTGCAGGTGTTAGCAGGCACCTCCTGAGTCACAGGAACCATCTGACTCCAAGTGTCCAGGGTCCCGGAAGGGCCTGGCGAGGGCTCTGAGCAAAGAATAAGGACGGAGGCGGTACCAGGGGCCGGGGACCTCATTCCTGCCTGGGGGCTACAACAGAGCTGGGGCTCCCTCACCCAGAGAAGCAGGTGTCTGGACCCTGACCCACGCACAGTCTCCTGCTGGGGGCTGGAGGGGCATCTGTGACACCCCCTCGGCAGCTGTCCCTGACCATACCCTGGACTCCTGGGAGGGGCATCTGGAGCTGGGCAGGAAGGCAAGGGGCCACCTCCCCCATCTGCCAGCTCACCTGAGGTGCAGGAGGGTAGCTGAATGGCTTAGAGTAGGGGAGCCAGGTCACTGGGCACTGCCTGCTGACCGGGCAGACTCAGCTCACCCCACACCTGCCCTGGCCGGAGCACCGTCCTCTGTGTCAGCTGCAGGTGCCTCTCAGGGACCCCAGTGCCCCCCCTCCCCCCAGCCAGGCCTCCCACTGTCAGGTCCAAGTCATCCTGCAGGGTGTGGTCAGCGGGTTGTGGACAGAGCCCCAAGGGCCAGCACCTGCCACACTAGACACTTGATGAACAGGCACAAAGATCCAGGGACAGTGTCCCTGAGCCCACCTCCCTCAAGGACACCAGGGGGAGCTTGTTTGGCTGTGGCTGTATTGTGAACCCCGGGCCTGGTCAGGACTGGACCCCAGTCCCTCTCGGGCCTCAGCAGGCAGCGAAGTGAGCACAGCTGACTGCCCTGTTACAAGCCCCACGATGTGTCAGGAAGGTTGGATGACTGAGCACACCATCCAGGCACCTCAGTCTCCTCATCTCTGAAATGGGCAGGAGAGCTGTGATGGCCGTCGAGGCCTGACGTCCGAGAGCATGGCCCGCAGGCAGTGGACTTGTCCCCACCACTGACGCCAGTCCCCACCCCTCTTCTGACTGCAGGTACCGCAAGGTGGCGTCCAATGTGTGCAAAGGCGGCGTGGACCTGCAGCGGGGGGCAGGGTCGCTCCAGTGCCCTCTCATGCCGCCCCGGGGCCTGCGGGTCAGCATCCAAGGAGAGGCAGTGGCTGTGCGGCCGGGAGAGGATGTCCTGTTTGTGGTGCGGCAGGAGCAGGTGGGCAGCCCAACCAGATCGCGTGGACCCTGCCAGGGGGTGACCAGGGGGAGGATGACCCTTCCCCGTCCATACCAGGAAGCGTGGACCTCGCTGAGGGTGACAGATAGGGACCGACCTCTCCCCATCCAGACCAGGGCTCGTGGACCCTGCTGAAGGGTGATGGGGGTGGGGGGTTTGGTGGGGTAGGGGGCTGACCCCTCCCCATCCAGACCAGGGCGCGTGGACCCCGCCGAGGGGTGAAAGAGGGGAGGGGCCGACACCTCCCGGTGGAGGCCAGCAGTTGTAGTGAGGCGTGGCCCCGAGGAACGTCAGCGGACGTGGGCGTGGCATATGTATCTGTCTGTGTGTAGTGAGTGTGTGCGGTGTGTGGGACTGTGTTGTGTGTGGAGTGGGTGTGTGTGTTGTGTGTGTCTGTGCTGCAAAGTGCTTTATTAGCATATCAAGAAGACAACTATCCATCCAATTCCTTTCCCCCAAGGTAATAACTGTTAACAGCGCTTAAGTGACGGCGTTTCCACAAATGGCATTCCCACATAAATCCTATGCGTATAGCCTGCACAGCACAGATTAAGAAACCAACTCAGGAGGGTGCGGTGGTGAAAACCATATGATTCCTGTACGATTTGTAAGGTGCGGGAATATTTATCATCTGTGCCCTTCTGATGCTAGACATAGTGAGTGCTCTTTGTAGAAAATTCCCAAACAGAAGTTAGACACCATTGCCAACCTGCAGAGCATTCCAGCAGTGAGACACATGAGGGTAAGTTTGCACCCATTTGAGGGGCCACCCTTGGGCCCAGATGTTCCTGGGACGATCAGATCTGTGGGCATTCTTGACTCTGGTTAGCTAATAGGGAACGTGAACAGCTGAGGTTTGTAAACCGAGTTTTCTTTCAGTGCTCTCTTCAAGGGTGGTGGCAAGCCTTTGGTGGTGGTGATGGTGAGGTCTTGGGTGTTGACACACAGGGACCCTCCTTGTCCAGTGTAGGCAGAAAACAGGACACAGAACTGTGCACATGCCTTCCCTCAATCCTTGTGGCAACCTGACCAGGGTGGACTCTGAAACTGAGGAAACCGAGGCTCTGAGAGGACAAGTCTCTGACCACTGCTTGGTGACAAGTGTGATTGGGTCTCAGGCCTCTCCCATGTCCATATGCCCCACTGTGACCAACCTGAGATTCAAGCTCCAAGCTTGGGCTGAGGCCTGGGAGGGGCGGCAGAGGATGAAGCCCCCTACCCAGCCTGGGCGCATGTGGACACTCCCAGTGGACCAACCTTCCTTTGCCCCCGCTCCCCGGGAGCTCTGTAAAAGTGGCCATCTGCTGCCCCCTAGAGCCTGGCTTCTTCAGATCCCTGAATGGTGCCTGGATGGACTCTGCTGAGTCCTGGGCCCACCCGCACGTCCTACTCACCACACACCACACATCACACAAAGGGTGGGCTCAGTTAAGGGGAGGGAAGAAGGCACTGTAAAGCCGCCCCCTCCATGTACACCTATGGTCAGAGGACATGGGGGATGAGGGTGGGCATGGGGACTGGGGTGTGCACACTCACACACACACACTGCGGGGCACCTGCAGAAACAAAATCAAACAGAAACACCTTGTGACAGTCACACATCCTCACAAAAGTGCCTTCCCTCACAAACACACTGACACTCACATAGCACCTGCACACACAAGCTTAAACACAAACACGTTGTCACAAACTCAAACACTCGCACACACAATGACACATATATAGGCTCAACACACACAGTCGTACACAGTCTCACATTCATGTTGACACGCACATTTACGCTCACACACAGTCGTATGGTCTCACAAACACATTCATGCTCACGCACAGACACACACTTTCATACTCACACACTCACAAACACACACCCTCACACGTGTTGTTGATAGGAGCCTTTGAGTTGGTTCCGACTTCACGCAGATCCTGAGACAACCTCAAAAGGGTTGTTAGGATTCAGCCCATTACTGCTGCCACTGTGTTAGTCCCTCTCCTTGGGGGTCTTCCTCTGTTTCGTTGACCCTCCACTTCACCAAACATGATGTCCCTCTTCAGGGATGGATCCCTTTGGATAATATGTTGGAAGTAGGAGAGACAAAGTCTGGCCATCATGACTTCTAAGACACAATTTGCTTGTACTTCTTCGAGCAAGATTAGTTTGTTTTGCAGGTACTCCAATGTACTTTTAATGTTGTTTTCCAGAGTCTTCCTTGTTCAGTGTCCCACTTTCTCTTGCATGTGAGGCTACTGAAAATACCATGACTTGGATCTGGTTCACCTTAGTCCTCAAACTGACATCTTTAAAGTCTTCAAGAGAACACTTTAACGAGGTCTTGTACAGCAGATTGGCCTAATGCAATGCGGTATTTCATTTCCTGACTGCTGCTCCCATGAGTGTTGATGGTGGATCCAAGCAAAATGAAGTTTTGACAACTTCAACCTTTCTCCGTTTATCATGATGTTATTTATTGGCCCAGTGGTGAGGATTTTTGTTTTCTTTACACTGAGGTACAACCCATACTGAAGGCTGTGGTCTTTGATCTTCATCAGTAAGTATTTTAAGTCCTCTTCACTTTCAGCAGGTCACATTTCTTTTAATATAATCCACCTTCTCAGATTATTTATTCAGTATACAGACCGAATAAGCATGGTGAAAGAATACCACCCTGGCCCACACCTTTCCTAATTTTAAACCATTCAGTTTTCCCTCGTTCAGTTCTAACCATTGCCGCTTGTCTATGTACAGATTCCTCATGAGCACAGTTAAGTGTTCCGGAATACTCAGTGTCCACAGAGTTGTCCATAGCTTGTCATGAGCCACAATGTCCAAAACCTCAATAAAGCACAGGTAAACGTCTTTCTGGTATTCTCTGCTTTCGACCAAGAGCCATATGACGTCAGCAATGATATTCCTTGTTCCACGTCGTCATATGAATCCGGCTTAAAGCTCTGGGAGTTCTTTGTATGATTGCAGCCATTTTTATATTATCTTTAGCAGAATTTTACTTCCATGCTATATTGACGATATTGTCCAATGATTTCTGTATTCCACTGGGTCACCTCTCTTTGGAATGGGCACAAATATAGATCTCTACTGATCCAGTCAGTCAGCCAGGTAGCAGTCTCCAGTGCTGCATCAGTTTGTTGAAAGATTTCAATTTGTAATCCATCGATTTCCAGAGCTTTGTTCTTTGCTAATGCCTTCAGTGCACTTTGGACTTCATTCATGATCATTGGCTCTTGATCATATGCTACCTCTTGAAACGGTTGAACATCGACCATTTCTTTTTGGTACAGTGACTCTGTGTATTCCTTCCATCTTCTTTTGATGCTTTCTGCATCGTTCGATAGTTCGCTCAATATTACAAAGCAAGTCTTGAATTTTTTCCTGAGTTCTTTCAGCTTGAGAAATGCTGAGTGTGTTTTTCCTTTTGGTTTTCTTACTCCAGGTCTTATCACATTTCATTATAATATTTGACTTTTTCTTCTCGAGCTGACATTTGAAATTTTCTGTTCAGCTCTTGTACCTCCTCACTTCTTCCATTTGCTTTAGCATCTCTGCGCTGGAGAGTAAGTTTCAGAGTCTCTTCTGATATCCGTTTTGACCTTATCCATCTTTCTTGTCTTCTCAATGACCTTTTGCTTTTTTCCTGTATGATGTTCTTGATATCATTCCACAACTCTTCTGGTCTTCGTTCTTTAGTGTTTAATGCATCAAATCTGTTCTTGAGACAATCTCTAAATTCAGGTGGGATATATTCAAGGTCATGTTTTGGCTCTTGTGGACTCATTTTTATTTTCTTCAGCTTCAGTTTGAATTTGCATATGAGTAATTGATGGTCTGTCCCACAGTGTGCCCCTGGCCTTGTTTTGGATGTTGATATGGAACTTTTTCACCGTCTCTTCCCACAGATGTAGTCAATTTGATTTCTGTGTATTCCATCTGGTGAGGTCCATGTGTATACTTGTCTTTTATGCTGTTTAACAAAGGTATTTTCAATAAAGAAGTCATTGGTCTTGCAAAATTCTATCATGAGGTCTCCAGCATCGTTTCTATCACCAAGGACGTAATTTTCAACTATTGATCCTTCCCATTTGTTTCCAACATTGCATTCCAATCACCAGTAATTATCAGTACATCCTGAGCTCCTGTTTGATCAATTTCAGACTGAAAAAGATACTAGAATTCCTCAATTTCATCATCACTGACTTTAGTGGTTGGTGCATAAATTTGAATAAAAGTGATATTAACCGGTCTTCCTCGTAGTCGTATGAATATTATCCTATCACAGACAGTGTTGTACTTCAAGATAGGTCTTGATAATGTTCTTTTTGATGAAGAATGCAACACCATTCCTCTTTAATTTATAATTCCCAACATAGAAAACCATGTGATTGTCAGATTCACAATGGCCCAACCATTCCATTCAGATCACTAATGCCTAGGACATTGGTGTTTATGTATCCCACTTCATGGTTGACAATTTCCTATTTTCCTAGATTCATATTCCATGCGTTCTGTGTTCCAATTATTAATGACTATTTGTGCCCCATCAGGAGATGAAGGTCCTGAGGGTTTTATTCCATTCACATCATCACGGCCAACTCTGCTTTAACGAGGCAGCTCTTCCCCAGACTTCTGAGTGCCTTCCAACCCGAGGGCTCATCTTCCGGCACTGTATCTGACAATATCCGGGTGCTCTTCATCACCTTTCAATATTCGGTATTCTGGTGCTGACAGTGTTCCACTGCTATTCATAAGGATTTCGGTAACTACACATTAGAAAGTCGTCCGTCTCTCCTTCTTCCTAGTCTGTCTTAGTCTGGAAACTCATCTGAAACCTGTCCACCATTGATGTATCTTGCTGGCATTTAAATATCAGTGACATAGTTTCCACAATCACAGCCACCACAGGATGACAAACTGACAGATGAGTGGTGGACTCTTACACATTGGCCAGCTCAGGCTTGGCAGCTGTGAAGGGTCCAAGCGCCCCGAAGACTGTGAAAGGTCCAAGCGCCCCGAGGACCGTGAAAGGTCCTGGTTTTGATCATTGGGAGATGGTTTCCTGGGAGCGGAAGAGGGGGAGACAGAGAGAGATGTGGAGGGGAGTCAGAGAGATGGTGGAGAGAGAGTTAGAGAGAAGGAGAGAGGGAGCCAGACAGTGGGAGAGGCAGAGATGGAGGAGGGGCAGGAGATGGGGAGGGTAGAGGAACAGGCACATCAACGAGGAGGAGAAGGAAGGGGAGAAAATGAGGGTGACTGTGACCCCTTTCTCTTTCTGTGATGTTGAAAAAGTTTTTTCCTTCACTCCATTTCCTCAAATCTAAGATGAAAACAGTTATCTGAAGGGAAATGTTGGCAGCAGAGATATGTGAATGGCGATAAGACGGCTTTTGTGGGTGACTCAGTGGTGGGAGGGGTGAGGCCGCAGTGGAGGGGTCTCTGCATGGAGCCTGAGTCTGCATCCCTCCAGGTATGGAGTGAGGATGATAAAGGAGCTCTCCGGAGCCATGTTACACCTGGGGAGACACTTTGGAGAGGGAGTCACATGGTCTTCCCAATCCTGTTCCTAGAATCCTCCAAGGCCCCTCCTCACCCTCTGTCTCCCACCTGCCCTGGCCCCAGTGGGTCTCCCTGCATTCCCCCACCTACGCCCACCCCACCACCCTCTCTGGGGTCACCCTTGGGAGAGCTGCTTCCTCTCACCAGCTAGGCGATCGTTCTCAAGGGCAAGCCTGACAGTAGAGCCTTGCTTTACCCTCTGGGCTCCGTCCCCTGGTGCTCTATCTATCTAACCTGCCCTCCTCACCTGCACACCACTTACCTGCCTGGAGCTGATGTCAGGGTCTGGACCCTGATGGCAGAGTAACAGCTTGGGTCCCGAAAGCCCTTCCTTGCATTCTGAGGACAGGAGTGAGAGTGATGGATGAGTGACAGAGTGGGTGAGTGAGTGATGGATGGATGAATGAATGAAGGAGTCAGTGAGTGAGTGGTGGGGTGAGCTCACCCCTGACCCCTCAGCGGCACCAGTATTGTGGTCACTCCTAAGTGGCATCGTGCTGTTCCCCTGCAGGGTGATGTCCTGACCACTAAGTACCAGGTGGACCTTGGAGACGGCTTCAAGGTCATGTACGTGAACCTCACGCTGACCGGGGAGCCTGTCCGGCACCGCTATGCGAGCCCTGGTGTCTACCGCGTGTCTGTCCGTGCAGAGAACATGGCGGGGCAAGATGAGGCGGTGCTCTTTGTCCAGGTTAACTGTAAGTCGCCACCTTTGAAAGGCAGACCTTGGGATAGGGTCCTCAGGATGGCAGCCCAGGGGCTCCGCATCTGCACCTCTGATGATCTGTAGTTGGGTCGGTGGGAATGTGTATAAGTGGGGTTGTTGGTGGATCATACTGATGATGGTGGTATGGTGATTATGGAAGCAGTGCTGGGGATTGTGGTATTAATGGTGGGGATGGTGGTGCGGGTAATGATGGTGGTGTAGCTGGTGATGGTTATGGTGGTGTTGGTGGTAATGATGATATGATGGCTGTGGTGATGGTGATGGTGTTATGGTAGTGGTGAGATGGTAGAGGTAATGTAGGTGGTGATGGTGATGTTGGTAATGATGGTGGTGCTGTTGGTGACAGTAGAAAAAAGGACAGTGGTAATGATGAAGGTGGCAGTCACAGTGGAGTTGGTGGGGACAGGACCAATAAGAAGTCTATGAAATGACAGATATCCTGAAGCTCTCTGACCTCTGCAGCCCCCCTGCAGGCCCTGTACCTGGAAGTGGTCCCTGTCATTGGCATCAACCAGGAAGTGAACCTCACAGCAGTGTTGCTGCCCCTGAACCCCAACCTCACTGTCTTCTACTGGTGGATCGGTCACAGCCTGCAGGTGCGGCCCTCACAGGCCCCCGTCCTCAGCTCCTGTCCAGGGTGGATGGTGGACAAGAGTGCCATGTGTGTGAGGTCCTCCTGGGTGACTGGTGTAGGGGCCCCCCTCCTCTACTCGGTCCCACTCAGGGTGGCCCCGGTTAGAACAGGCATCCCAGGAAGGAACAAAGAGGAATGTGGGAGCTCCCAGTGATGGAAGGTCGTTTCCAGGGGAGGCCAGGGTACCTGGGGCTGGGCCAGACCTCAGAGGTCTTAATCAAAGGCTTATAATTTGGAAGCAGTGGGGAGCTATGGACAGTTCTTGAGCAGGATTGTGGCCTGAATCATAGGACTGCTCTGCTTTGAGGGTCTTGTAGGGTGGGGCTGCCCACTCTCAAACTGTGGGGCTTCAAGACCCAGAAGAACTTTCTCCCTTTGCCAGGCGATCCCCACGTAGACCCCTGTCCAGCAGCAGTTAAAGGCCTAGATGGGGGAGGGAGGGACAATGGATTCTGCCTGTGAGTCCCCAGAATGGGGAAGGTTGGAGAAGGGACCTGAACTCCAAGTTCGAGTCTCAGCCCAGCCATTTCCTGTGGGGCCCTTTGGGGGCATCCCTCACCACGGCAGCCCTGGGCCTCATGAGAAATCGCCTCCCGTTCTCAAGACGTATCCAGGGAAGGTGTCATGGCTCACACCTGCAGCCATATGGGTGTGAAGGTCCCCGAAATGTCACGTGGGAGGGGCTCTTGTGTGGATAGGAGGGATGCTGGGAGATTTTCACTATGTCCTGGCTGTCTGAAGTCTTTGTGTGTGGGGGGGGAGGGGATCCCTGAGCCCCCCACGGCTCGCTGTGAAAGCCCTGTCCCATAGCCTTTGCTGTCCCTGGAGAACTCGGTGAGCACGCGGTTTGCGGATGCAGGGGACGTGCGGGTGACCGTGCAGGCGACCTGTGGGAGCTCGGTGCTGCAGGACTCCAAGGTCATCCGAGTGCTGGGTGAGTCCTCAGGGTCAGCTCCCTCCCCACCCAGGGTCTCCCAGCCCTCCAGAGAACACACTGAGCTCATACTCTGCACATGGGTGCTCACCCCTCACACAAGTGAGGCACCTGGGGTCATGCCTCCACTCCTGTGTACCCACATGTCACACAAGAAAGGCACACCTGGGTCATACCTCTACTTGTGTGTACCCACATGTCACACAGATGAACCTGGGGTCATACCTCCGCTCATGTGTGCCCACACGTCACACAGGTGAGATATACCTGGGGTCATACTTATACTCATGTGTACCCACACGTCACACAGATGAGACATGCCTGGGCTCATACTCCACTCCTGTGTGCCCACATGTCACACAGGTGAGGCTGTTTCCACACGGCAGGGGGTGGGGCCCCGGGAGGGATTTGGGGCTGGTCTATAAGGCTGCCCCTCTGGGCTCTGCTCCCCGCCCCCCCAGCACACTTGCAAATTGTGCCATGAGTCTCTGTCACAGGACCTTTGATGAGACCCCTGAACTGTGCTTTCGGGGGGTCCTTAGCTGCCCCCCAAGAGACTTACAATGAAAAAGTAGCTCCAAGTCTGAAAGTGCCCCAGCACATGGCTACTGACCACGACACCCCTGAAGGCCCCAATTGCTGTATTAGCGGCCAGGGGTGTGTGCAAGGCTGAGGCTGGGTTGTCCACACTGGCCGTGGCTGGCCAGGCCTCAGATGGTCATTTCTTCATCTACACACACACTTGGTACTGTCCCCACCCCCACATAAACCATCCCAGGGCCTCCTCCCAACTCCAGTAAGAAAGCAAGGCTCAGAAGGAAAGGCCAAACCCGAGGACCATGGGAGAGGAAGAGAGGACTCTGAGTCAGGGGGCTCTCAATCTGGTGAGGGGATCAGTCCAGGGGACAGTCAGAAGTGGCTAAGGGCCGAGAGAGGGTCTCAGCCATGGAGACACCCTCATGAGTCATTAAAGCACACCTCAGAGGGTAGGTGGGCAGAGTGGCTGGCTTTACCATCCTTACCACTGATGTTGGTACGATGATGATTACTGTTGACACACAGCTGAGAGGTGAGGCCTGTCTGGGACCACCTACAGGCCACCACATGAAGCGCAGGATTGTGTTGCTCAAATGCAAAACGGGACCCTTCTAATCTGCTTGAAAGGATTCTGAGGACGGGGTGTCCAGGCCCACACAGAGGCCCTCAGCTGGCCGCACTGTTGGGCTGACCACCCTCCCATCTCTGCCCCTCCCAGATCAGTTTCAGATTGTGCCTCTGCAGTTTTCCAAGGACTTGGATGCTTACAACCCCAATGTTCCTGAATGGAGGGCAGACGTCGGCCTAGGGGTCACCCGACTCCTCTCTAAGGTGCCCCCCTCACTCAGTGTCCAGCCTGGCCCAGCCCTGGAAAAGGCTCCGTGCCCATGAAGCTGAGTGTCATGGTCACCTGGGGACAGGCAGGAGATACTGCCCCTTAAGTCTAGTGTTGGGCATCAGCCAGCCCTGCGGGTGGGGAGCTTGGAAGCCAGGGGGCCGCTGGGCCTGGGGAACAGGAAGCTGGGTGCCATCTCTCAGAACAAAGCAGGAGCCACACCCTCCTCAGTCACCACCCACAGGGCACAGTCCTGTTGCCTAGCAGCTGAGTCTCTTGAAAACCCTTTGAATGGTCTGCTGAGTCCCCTCCTGAGCTTGGCACTGGCCCCAGAGAGAAAGGTCAGACACAGCTGCTGTCCTTAGGGAGAGGGTAGCCCCGGGCAAGGCAGCAGCGTGAGCACCTCTGGAGAGAACCCATCCAAGGGTGCCCTCCGGAAGAACCCACTAGTGTGGGTCTTATTGGGCTGGGCATTGAAGGCTCAGTAGGAGTTTTCCAGATGGAAAACTCCATCCTGGAGTTAGGTTTCCAGGACTCAGAGGAACAAGCAGCCTGTGACCGGGAACTGGGGTTGGTGGTGTTGCCATGCTGGGCCTACGTGTGGGATGGAGGAAGAGGAGGGGTGAAGGGCCTGCAGTGGGGCTGAGGCACCAAGGGGCTGGGTTTCAGGAGGCAGTGTGGGCAGGTGGGATTCCAGAGCTGCCCCCAGGATATGAAGGGTCAGGAAGGGCTGCAGGACAGCTGACCACAACTCCTACAGCAAAGAGTGGAACAGGGGTTCCTGGGACTCCAGAGTGTGGCAAGTGGCAACTAGGGCGACTCATCAGACCCATCTCTGTCCCCGTGGCCCTGCAGGAGACCAGTGTCCCCGAGGAGCTGCTGGTGACCGTGGTGAAGCCAGGGCTGCCCACTGTGGCTGACCTGTATGTGCTCCTGCCCCCTCCCCGGCCCACCAAGAAGAGGAGTCTAGGAAATGACAAGGTACCAGCTCTCTCAGCATCCCATGTCCCGGGGCTTCTGGTGACACAGACTCAGTGAGACATATATGTGTGTACACATGGAGCTAGCATGTCGAGGGAATTGGCTCACACAATTGCAAGTCCAAACTCTGTGGAAGACGCTGGAGTTCCACCAAATTATCTGTTGATGACTGGAAACAGACCACACTGTGGGGAAACTCCCACTCATTCTTAATGTCTTCAATGGACTGACTGACTAGACTACATTCTTGAAAATGAGCACCTTATATTACATTATGGAGAGTCACTACATTACAGATGACATGACAGATGGCATCGCATTGCATTACATTACATTATGAAGTGTCATTACGTTACGTAACAATGTGGAGGGTCGTTACATTATGTTGTGAATTACATTAGAGAGGACCAATACATTATGTTGTGAGTGATGGTTACATTATATTGTTAGATTACACTGTGGAGGGTCGTTACATTACATCAGAGAGGGCCATTACATTATGTTGTGAATGGAGACTACATTGTATCATGTTCTATTACACTGTGGAGGGTCGTTACATTACATCAGAGAGGGCCATTACATTATGTTGTGAATGGAGACTACATTGTATCATGTTCTATTACACTGTGGAGGGTCGTTACATTACATCAGAGAGGGCCATTACATTATGTTGTGAATGGAGACTACATTGTATCATGTTCTATTACACTGTGGAGGGTCGTTACATTACATCAGAGAGGGCCATTACATTATGTTGTGAATGGAGACTACATTGTATCATGTTCTATTACACTGTGGAGGGTCGTTACATTACATCAGAGAGGGCCATTACATTATGTTGTGAATGGAGACTACATTGTATCATGTTCTATTACACAGTGGAGGGTCGTTACATTACATTAGAGAGGCTCAGTACATTAAGTTATAAACAGTGATTACACTGTATTATGTTATATTACACTATGGATGGTCATGGCACTGTATTGTTGTTAGGTGCCATCAAGTCAGTACCAACTCATAGCGACCCTATACACAACAGAACAAAACACACACTGCCCAGGCCTGGGCCAACCTCACTATCTTTATGCTTGAGCCCATTGATGCTGCCACTGTGCCAATCCATCTCGTTAAGGGTCTTCTTCTTTTTCTCTGACCCTCCACCTTACCAAACATGGTATCACTCTCCAGCGACTAGTCCCTTCTGAATATGAGAGATGAAGTTTGGCCATCTTGGCCTCCAAGGAGCACTCTGTCTGCACTTCTTCCAACACAGATCTATTGGTTCTTTTGGCAGCCCATGGCACTTTCAGTATTCTCCTCCAACACCAGAACTCAAAAGCATCAATTCTTCTAAGGTCTTCCTTATTCACTGTCCAGCTTTCGCATGCATAAAAGGTTATTGAAAACACCATGGCTTGGGTCAGGCACACCTTAATCCTCAAGCTGACATCTTTGCTCTTCAACGCTTTAAAAAGGTCTTGTGTAGCAGATTTGCCCAATAAAATACGTTATTTGATTTCATGACTGCTGCTTCCATGTGTGTTGATGGTTGATCCAAGAAGAATGAAGTCCTTGACAACTTCAATCTTTTCTCTGTTGATAAGAACGTTGTTTATTGGCCCAGTGGTGAGGATTTTTGTTTTCTTGACATTGAGATGTAATCCACATTGAAGGCTGTGCTCTTTGATCTTCATCAGTAAATGTTTCAAGTCCTCTTCACTTTCAGCAAGCAAGGTTGTATCATCTGCATATCGCAGGTTGTTCATGAGTCTTCCTCCAGTTCTGATGCCGTGTTTTTCTTCATATAACCCAGCGTCTTTGATTATTTGCTCAGCATACAGGTTGAATAAGTATGGTGAAAGAATACAACCCTGGTGTCGCACACCTTTCCTAATTTTAAACCATTCCGTGTTCCCTTGTTCTGTTCAAACAACTGCCTCTTGGTATGTGTACAGGTTCCTCATGAGCACAATTAAGTGGTCTGGAATACTCATTCTCCACAATGTTGTCCATAGCTTGTCATGATCCACACAATCAAAAGCCTTTGAGTAGTCAATAAAGCACAGGTAAACATCTTTCTGGTATTCTCTGATCTCCAAGTACTCTTCTGAATCTGGCTTGAACCTCTGGAAGTTCTCTGTCAATGTATGATTGTAGCTGTTTTCTGTATTACCTTTAGTAAAACTTTACTCGCATGGCATATTGATAATATTATCTGATGATTTTCACATTCTGTTGGGTCACCTGTCTTTGGAAATGGGCACAAATACAGATCTCTTCCAGTCATGTGGTCAGGTAGCTGCCTTCCAAATTTCTTGGCATGATGAATGAATGCCTCCAGTGCCACCTCACTTTGTTGAAAGATTTCCATTTTTATTCCATCAATTCTTGGAACCTTGTTCTTTGCCAATTCCTTCAATATGCCTTGGATTTCCTCCTTCGATATCATTGGCTCTTGATCATATGGTACCTCTTGAAATGGTTGAGCATCAACCATTTCCTTTTGTTACAGTGACTCTGTGTATTCCTTCCACCTTCTGTTGATGCTTTCTGCATCGTTCAATAATTTGCCCAGAGAATCCTTCAATAATGAAAGCCAAGGCTTGAATTTTTTCTTCAGTTCCCTCAGCTATCACGTTGTTGTTGTGAAGTGCCGTCGAGTCGATTCCAACCCATAGCCACCCTGTATAGGGTTTCCAAGTAGCAGCTGGTGAGCTTGAAGTGCCAGCCTTACATCAAATGGCTTTGCAATCTGGCGCATTAAGCCACAGTGCCATGCCAGGACTCCATCACATTAGGGTGAGGTAATTAAATGTTTGACCAAATGTAGCAGGCTAATTTTAAGTTGATAATTTTGTATGGCCCACAAATAATGTTACAGATTTTGGCAGAAAAATGCTTCCCCACCCCTGCCTTATATGTTACAGTATGTTATATTGTATTATAGACAGTCATTTACATTATATTGTATTATATTAAATGACATTATATTATATCAAATATTATATTAAATGATGTTATACTATGTTACATTATATTATGTATCGTATGAGAAGGTTACATTATATCACACTACATTACACTGTGGAGGATGATATCATTACATGGAATTGTATCACATTGTACTGCATTACATGACATTATATCACATGACATTAGACTGTGGAGTGTAATTACATTGTATCATATTGTATTGCATTACATGACATTACAGTGTGGCGAATAATTATATTGTATCGATATATTACATGACATTACAGTGTGGAGAGTAATTACATTGTATCACATTATACCACATTACATGACATTATATCACATGACATTAGACTGTGGAGAGTAATTACATTGTATCACACTGTACCACATCACATGACATTACAGTGTGGAGGATGATTGCATTCTACTATGAAGCCTTGGTGGCACAATGGTTAAGTGCTCAGCTGCTAAATGAAAGGTTGGCTGTTTAAATTTACCCAGGGACACCACAGAAAAAAGACCTAGCATTCTGCGCCTATACAAATAACCGCCTAGGCACCCCTCCTGGGCAGTTCTGTTGTGTCGCACGGGGTCACTGTGAGTCAGATTTGGCTGGAGAGCACCCCGGACAGAGGAGGAGGCAGGTGCGGATGGTGACCATCCTCAGTGCACCCCTCTGCCCTGGGCACTGCCCCGCAACTTCTCTGCCTGCAGAGGACCCTGGCCATCCAGCAGGTGCTGAAAGAACGGAGGGTCAGCTTCTTCCTGCGCGGTGGGGTCCGCATCCTGGTGGCCCTTCGGGACGTGGACAAAGGTGAGACAGAACTCACCCTGCAGGGACCTTACCGTGAACTGTCCCCAGTGCCACACCTGCATTCTGCAGAAGTAGGGGTTCCTGCTGCATGAAGAGATGCCGTCCCCCCTACAGTTGACCTGACAGGTCTGCCCCCTCCAACACAGAGCAGACTCAGGGCCTGACCACGCCCACACAGATCCACTGATCCTATGCCACCCCTAGCCTGATGCCCTGTCACTCTCCTCTGAGCCACCACAGAAGGCCCAGACCAGGGACTCAAGCCCCCTCTGGGTGTCCCCCAACCCCTGGGACTGCTGTGCAGAAAGACACATGAGAGAGCTTCACGGGACAGACCTTCACTTCCTTCGTCAGAAACTGGATGTGTATTCCTAGGGGTGGCTCTCTCTGTGAACTTCGGGGGAAGGTTTGCTTTTCATCTTTGTAGCTCTGGGGCTCCGTGGGGAGCTCCATGCCTCTGTTTGCTTGTCTCTGTGTCCAGCTGTGCCCTGTCTGCATTACATACAGGGGTGAGGTTCAGGACCCTCTAACATCAAGTCCTAACAAGGCCACATACACAGGGAGGGGGGTCGGAAGGGAGCCCACAAGGTTCTGTCTGGCACACCCATGATGCTGCTTGGCCCACAGGCTCCCAGCGGCTGGGCGGTGGCGGCGGCTATTGGGCAGTGGTGGTCCTCTTTGTCGTGGGACTGTTCGCCGTGGGAGCATTCATCCTCTACAAGTTCAAAAGGCAAGGAAGGCTGCCCGGCTTCCCCAGGCAGACACTGGTGCTCTTGGCAGGCTGACCCGTGGGGGGCAGGGCCTCAGGGTGACTCCCTAGAGATGGAGGCTGGGAGGGAGGCTGGGGGAGTGCTTTCATTGTGTCTGGTGGGCCCAGGGGGGCTTCCCAGAGGTGGAGGTTGGGAGAGTGTTTGCTGTGTTGTCAAGCAGACACAGTAGAGCTCCCATGAGGTGGAGGCTGGGAGGGTGGCTGTATGCTTGCTCCCTGATGCCTACAGGGTTCTCCAGATCCCTCCTGTCCTGCAGGTGTGGGCCCCTGTGACAGAGGTAGTCAGCTGGGGCTCCACACCCCTAAGCCTCTCCCATCCATCTTCCATCTGCTTGGGGCACCCCAGCCCACATCACTGTCTTGTCCCATTTTACAGACAGGAGACAGACTCTATGAGGAATGTGCCAAGGCCAAACTGGGTTGCTGAGTGGAGCTGGGTCCCCCTGTATTCCTCAGCCCCTCCCTGCTCCAGGCCCTGGGGTGCAGGTGGGCTGCTGCTGAGGTCCCTGCTAGGATCTGGGACGGGGAGCTGATCTGAGGCTAGGAGGAGCTCACTGAGGCTCTGTGGTCGTCTTCATTACTGGACCTACCCCTCGTCTGTGAAATGGTAGACCATCCAGGATTGGGGGGCCATCCTGAAGGGTTGGGAATCTGAGGTTCCCTGGATCCCTAGCAGTGAATTGACAAGGCTCACCAGACTCGCCCCTGCAAAACACAGCTTCCACGTGGGATCCCACTGTCTCCCCCTTTAGCTGGTTCCAGAGCCTGTCCGAGGAAAGAGCTCACTGGACCCCACCTACCTCTTCTCCAGGGACTGTCTGGATCACCTCCATGCCCCTCCACCCCCCACCCCACACACTCACTGGGGCAGCACCAACCAGGCAGGCATGGTCCAGCCCTGAGGCTGAAGTCTGTCTGGGGACAGGGAGAGCTGAGCTTATGGAAGAGTCCTGGAGGGCTTCCTGCAGGAGGCGAGACTTGAGTGGAGGCCCTGAAGGATGCGTAGGAGCGGAGCCCAGGCTGGGGCCTTCCCTGATTTCCAAACACCCCATGGGCCCTCTCTGATCCCCACAACCACCCTGGATGTGAGATTTGTCAGTGCCTGGAAGTGGCCGAGGTGACGTTGGGCCAGGTCCCCTGCTCCCCTGAGAAACAGGAGCCTTGAATGTTGGTATTGAACCTCCTCGGGACCAGACACGGGTATTCTCTTGGCCCTGGATTCATCAGGCTTGGGCAGGGGATGGCCAGTCACCCTTGTCATGAGTGGTGTTGTCTTCAGATGCATGGTACATGCCACAAGGTCCTCTGAGAGGCAGGTTCATAGTCCTTCTCCTGTGGACATCTGGGTCTCCTCGAGTCTGCATGTCTTATCATCTACCGAGAGCTACTGACAATTTCATTTCTGACTCAGGGCAGGGGTCACAGTGACGTCCCCATTTCAGCCTCCAGAGTCTGTAACTTCCCGCCCGATTGGCCCTGTGGAATGTCAGCACATGCTAGGCACGTGTAGACACACTTTCTCAGTTAAACTCACACGTGGGGTTCTTGTTCTGAACTTAGTAAGAAAAGGGACGATAGTTTCCCAGAGACACACAGCCCCCTCCCAGCTGCCTCCTACAGAGACCCCACCCCACTGCGCCTCATTCCCACCCACCCCTCTCCCGCTATAGTCACTTGTCCATCTTCACAGTTCGCCAGTTTTCAAATTCTGATTCCAGGGACTTCTATCTGACTGTGGCTGGTGGGAACCTGTGAAATGGGGGGTGGTCACTGTGGGCACACTGAAAGGCAAATGTCCCTGTCCTTCTCAGCTTCCCCTCTCTGCTGGCCAAAGTGCATACAAAGCCTCACGTCACTCATGTCTGCAGAGATTAAAGGAGTCCTCTTCAAAGCCGAGGCGAGAATCACACCATCAGGAGGCCTTGCAAGTATAATGCCACCAGCACGGATTTGGCAGGCTAGGAAGCCCAGCAGGATACTCTGTGTGCTGGGATCCCAGAGATTTCTGCTGCTGGTCCACCTCCAGGAGTGGGGAGACCCTTGGAGGAATGTGTTCCTACAGGCTAGCGCAGAGACCCCAACCACCTTCACCTTCTAGACCTCTCTTCACATTGCATTGCAAACGTTCACTCAAACCAGCACAGTGACAAAGTATGAGATCAGTCTCAAAGACCCAGGCCATGGGGGACGTCACCGGTGTAGGGTAAAAGTCATTCAAGAGCCCAGCCCTCCCCAGAGACACCGAATAATAAGCAAAAACTGTCAGAATCCATTTGTCCACACCTCTGTTGACTCGCGCCTGCAGAATCAAGAAGAAGACAAGTCAGACACAACGCTTACGGAAATCACTGGCAAACTGCTGGCTGAGTGTGAACTCAAGGACAGAGATTACAACCAAGCACGTCCTTAGAGCATCGTTACAAAAGCCACTAAACACACAACACTGTAATCCACACCAATGACAGACACCGAAGAGAGTACAAAATCTGATTCCCAGGGTGGCCTCATTAAACTGGTTTACAGTTCTGGTTTCCAATAACAAACAAAAAAAACTTAGCATGAGAAGGAGCAAGATAGTATTAGAAACTGCCCCTAAGGTCGTGGGGACTTTATCTAAACAATGTCTTTAAATCAGCTGTCGGTAAATCTGCCCAA